GGCCGCGGGGAAACCTCAGTTTGGGCGTCCCGGCCGGCGGCTGCCCCGGGGCTTTTGGTGCTGCTCGGGGTTTCAGCAGCCATTGCCTGCCAGGCAGCCTCGGGCCACCAAAACACGGAGCAGGGCCGCAGCCACTGCCCCCGCTGCTCTCACTGTCCAGAGATTTGGGGGAGGCTGGGAGGCCCTGGCCCTGGCCCTGGCCCCTCACTGTGCCCTCATTCTGCCTTCATTCCCTGCAGCTGGGATGAGCCCCAAGTGCTCCCTGGCTCCAGTGGTTCCTGGCACTCCTTTGCGGGAACAGGGTCAGGTTATTTTGAAATAATTCTCAGCCTGATTTCAGCGTCTTTCCCCTGGGCATCTCAAATTGCAGCCCGGCACCATGCTCTACTTCCCTCTTTGCGTGGGCAGAAGATGTGTGCGCAGCAAGAGAGGGTGTGTGTCTCTCTCCTGACATCCTTGTTAGCTAACAAGTCCTTTCCTCTGCAAAGGGGGCTGGGTAGCCAGCTGTGAGGTTTGCCACATTCAGGGTAAGCTGCCCTGTGCCATGGGTAGCCCAGGTCCAGCCATTGCATCCCTCTCGAGACGTACCCCCTTTCTAGGCAGAGCAGAGGGATGGGTACAGTGCAGGAGAGGGTTTGTCCCTGGATGGAGATGGACCCCCTCCCAGCAGGCTGCCAGCTCTGACTGGTTCTGCCCATTTCTCCCAGTGCTGACACCCCCCACCCCCCATTCCCATTCCCACAGTTTCAGAGTCTGCAGCTGGAGCGGGAGATGTGTTTGGCTTCAAACTGCACCCTGGCCAGGGTGAACCTCTCCCTGCGCCCACGGCTGGAGGACGGGAAGGCTTCCTTAGCCATCAAGTACCAGGAGCTGCGGGAGATACGAGAGGCTTGTTGGGACAAGCAGCAGCGCCTGGGTGAGTGGGGCGCAGCAGATGGGATGAGGCAGAGCCCAGCACAGCCAGAGCAACCCACGTTAATACGAGGGCCTGGGTGGGCTCAGCACCCTTGAACCTGCACCAGGGAAATGGCCCAGCCATGATCAGGAGCAGTGGGGGGTGATGCTGCCTGCGACATAGCCAGCCCTCGGTTGGGACCAATGCCGCAGTGGGATGCAGGCCTTGGTGTGCAGGCGGCTCCAGGGATGTGTTTGGGGGTGTTTCAGTTCGGGGGGGGAACTGATGCTTGGGGATAGGAAAGACTGCAGCCCCAGCAGTGGGGGCATCTGGGGAGAGGTTTGTTGGCAGCCCCGTCCCCTCCCAACACAGAGGCATACCTGGAGAATTGGAGCCCGCAGAGCGCCCTGGGCCAGCTCCAAGCCAAGCTCGATGCCTCCGAGGCAGAGTCGGAGGTGAGTCAGGCAAGACCCCTGTGCTGCTGCCCCTTCCTTGCCTGGGCCCCGGACTCCTCTCCATGCCCTCCCACGTGCCAGGCCCTGGAGAAGAGCCCGGGGGGGCTCAGCCGTCTGGGCTCCCTCCGTGGTCCCATGGCTCTCTTGGCTTGATGCTGTCCCACCGCGTGTCCCACAGGCACAGATAGAGCAGTTCCTGGCCCAGGACCTGCCCCTCGGTTCCTTTCTGGAGTCCTTCTGCCAGAGCCGCACACGCTCCCACATCTGCCGGACACAGCTGGAGAAACTGCAGGAGCTGCTGCAGAAGGACCAGGTGGGCAGGGACCCTGCGGGCCCCGCGGGGCACCCAGGTGCCCTGGCTAGCCCGGCACGAGGCCGCCTTGCCCCGTTGCGGAGTGGATTAGCCCCCAAAGCCTTCGATCTCTCCTATGGCTTTGTGCCCGCCTTTCTCATCCCCTCGGAGGCTGTTGTGCCCTTTGCCGTGCCGGCTGCACCTCCCAGACACCATCTCCCAGCCCTGGAACACCAGCCAGCATCTCCCTGCTCCAAAATTCCCAGCCCGGGCTCGCCTTTGCGCCTCGTCGGACACATCCCCCTGCTCAGCCCCCAGCCCCTCCGCAGGCAGCAGTGGCCACGACACCAGAAGCAGGAGCCTCCACACCGGTAGCAGCGCAGGGACGGGGAATGTCCCTGCTCCTGGCCCTGTGCCTCCATGGGGGCTGCGCAGGAACACCCTGGCCGGGGAGCATATGGGGATGGGTGCATGGCGTAGGCACAGCTACAAGGGGCTGCGGTGTCTGTTGGGCAGGTACAGGGGTGGGTGCTCACAGGGGGATGGAGGTGCATGGCTGAGGGCGGGATGGGGCGGGTGCCGTGGCCAGGCAGTGAGTCCTGCACTTGAGGAGCTGCCGGGGCAGGGGGAGGTCTCTGCATCCACAGCAAAAGGAACAGTGAGAGGAAGTGGGGGCGGGTGGTTTGGAGGGATGTCAGTGTGCTCAGTCGGGTGGGAGATAGCAGGGAAGAGGGCCCGGGAGCACTGGGCGCCACGTGCTTTCTAAATAAAGGCTCTTTTCCATGCTCTGTGTTACCCCTTGGCTCTGGCTATGAACAGAGGGATGGGACAGGCAGGGAGGAAGTGGTTGTGGGGGGACACTTGCCAGGCTTGGAGGTAACTGGCAGTCAAGGAGGGTCCTCCAGCCTGGGGAGCCCCCAGGCGTTGCACCTGCACTTGGCTCAGCCCATCAACACCCTGAGCAAGGTGACAGCCCCCGCAAGGGGGGCAGAGAGCCCAGTGAGTGTGAGTTTCCCCCCAGGCAAGTGCCAGGGACCATCTCCCAGCAGTTTGGCCCTGCACATGGTGAAGACTTCTGGTAACCAGAGATGCCTCGTGCCAGCAGCCAAGCCCTCGCGCCCATGAAGGGTTATACCCCGCAGCCAGCCGGGCTCGCTCATGGCTCCACAGCAGCTGGTCTCAGACCTGTGTGCAGCTCTGCAGCATTTTTAGTACCCATTCCCCATCCACCCTCTTGCACTAGCCCTGACTTCAGCCACCACTGGAAAAGGCGGCAGGAGGCCTGAGCTCACCCTGTTGCATCCCAGGCTCCTCTGTTGCTTTCTTTAATTTCACGCAATGGATGGTGAGACACGGCTGGGCGGGGAATAGCCCTGGTTCCTCCAGCTGCAGCCCCTGGGGTACTTGTTCCCTGCTCTGGGGTGTCTCTTGTGCTGTTTCTAGCTTTTGATTGGTTTCAGGCTCTTCTTAGGCTTTCAGCCCCTGTCTGGTTGTAGCGTTTTTTTCTTCTTTCCCAGCCTGCCCACCCTGCAGCTTGGCACTGTTAATGTAGACTACTTAGGAATCATCCAAAGCAGCAAGGGGCCCTGGCTCTGGCTACAAAGCACCCCAAAATATGGACCATTGCCTTGCAATGTCTGATCACCCCCTCCACCACTAAGGGTACCCCACCATTACTCCAAACTCCAGCCTTCACTTGTGGGACTGGGGCCACTCATCCAGTATAACCAGTTAAAACAAGTTTAAGACTAGGATAAATTGGGGACCAGCCGCCGTGGCCTTATTGGCAGGCAAGGAGATGGTAGTCACTGCAATATTTGGGGTTTCACAGAGCACCTCCTGCTTTCCTGGGTCCCACCAGGCTCAGTTTGGGCTCAGCCTGTCAAAGAAAGGTGCCAGGACACGCCTGACTGCCACAGTCAGGCTCTGTGGCTTGCCACATGCCAGGAAGAAGGAGAGTAGTAGGCTGGCAACCATGGCACAAGAGCTTGGTTGGGTTCCCGTACCAGCCCCACAGGGCTAACCTAACCAGGGAAATAAGGGGGCCAAGCAGTAGCACTTAGGGGGCCAGTTGGTCTGTGTGGGACCATCTGTGCTGTGTCTGGAGGGGGCCACGATGCACAGGCAGCCCTTTCCTACCCAATGTCCTGGCATCCCCCGGACATTTGCCCAGGCTACCCCATGTGAGATGACCAGAGCTATGGATGTAGCATGGGGACATGGGCTCAAGTGATGTGTGTGTGTGTGTGTGTGTGTGTGTGTGTGTGTGTCTCGAGCTATGAGGGCTCTCAGCACACACACACAAGGGGTGGTGGTGGGTAAGCACAAGGCCTTTCCCTGGGGATCTGGATGGCCACCTGGGAGAGGAAGGCCACCTTAGCACTTGGCTCAGGAAGAAAGGACCCCAAGGCAATGGCATGAGGATATGGTGCATGCTGGAGCCCAGAGCCAGACACCTGTATGGGCTGAATGCCAGCCAAAGGCAATGCTGATGAGCTGTGTCACTGCCCTGCAAGATGGGACTGGGCGCAGCACTGGAGCTGGCACTAGCGCACATGCGACCATGCACAAGGAGCCAAGCCGCCCAAAAACCAGCCAGGCACAAACAGTGGGTCTCCCCAGTCAGTGCCTGCCTTGCATGGCTCCCCAGGGCTGGGCAGTCTCAGGCAATGCTGCATGGGTCTGTCACCAGCTCCAGGACAAACTTCCCTGGCCCTGAGCAGGTACTGAGTCACCTTACAGCAAGGGCACATGTGGCCCCATGAATGTGAACCCTCAAGCTGAGCAGCTGCCTCTCTCCAGCCTGGGGAGGGTATGTCCCACCAAAGCTGACAGCACTAAAAGTAACGGTCCAAAGAACAAAGTGAGCTGGGCTGCTGTGGCCCTGGCTGGCTTTCCATCCATAGGAGCCCTGCAGCACCCCTGGGTGCCTGCCCAGCTCAGGTAGCAGTGGGCAGGCCCTGGCAGCCCCATGGTCCTGCTGGGCTGGCCACCACCCCACTTCCGCCAAGGTCCTTTAACCACTGGGAAGCTGCCAAGCAAGGCGAGCCCCTGCCCTGAGGAGGTTCCTCCAACCCTGGAGTTGGTCCTGTCCAGTTTGGAGCACGTACTGCCCCAGGAGGGTGGCCAGACCCCCCAGTGGCAGTGGCCCTGGTGGGGAGTGAACATGCAGCATCAGTGCACCCTGTGCCTCTAGGGAACGTGGCAGCAGTGGGTGTCTGCCTCTTCACTCCCAGAGTGTGCAGTCAGCACCTCACCATACCGGCAGCGCCAGCCCCTTCCGCAGGCAGGCCTGGGCTGAGGACAAAGTCCTGCACGGTGGGCAAGATGGGGACATTGGTAACAGGCAGGAGCTGGCAGCAGCACAGGGTGATCCCTCTGTGCCCCTCCTTGCCTGCACAGTGGTTCTCCCTGCCTGCACCAAGCGCTGCCTGCTCTGCAGGGCCACATCGAGGGGCGTCAACGTGCCCCTGCTCACCCCGGGGAAAAGGAGGAAGCATTGCCACCAGGTGTGCACCTGCATTCATTTCTGTACTGGGCCAGGCAGCAGCCTGGGGCCAGCTCAGCCCCTCTGTCAGCTGGTGTGCTTCCAAACCCAGGAGGGGCAGGCGGGGAGCTGGCCCTACCAGCTCTGTGGCCTCCCCGGCCCCCCCAGGCCTGGCTTTTCGGAAGCCAGGCTGGGCAAGCAGCAGCCCCCCAGCCCAGGAGGGGTAGGACACCTGGGAGAGAAGAGATGCCCCCAGCACAGGCAGCCTCCAGGAGACCCTTTGAGCCGCAACCCCAGGTCGGCAGGGGATGCAAAACCCCAGGCTGGGGCCAGCCAGCGAGGGGTGGTGCCAGGGTGCCCCAGCTGGGCCCCCCGGTGCAGCAGGCACTGCGCAGGCAGCAGGGCTGTTAACGGAGGAAATTTTGTTAACAGTTAACTCTATTAACAGAGGAGTCGCAGCAGGGGATGCTGTTGAAGGGAGGGGGAACTGCCCCCCCCATCCACAGGTGCTGCCAACCGTGTGGCCCTTCCCTGGGGGAGTAGAGCCACCGAGGGCCCAGCAGCAGCAGGACTGAGGTGCAGAGCTCTGCCCATGGATCCCAGGGCAGGTGAGGGCTGGGGCTGTCCCAGGCGTCGTCCCCTCACCCCCCTCCCAGCCAGGCCAGCCCCTCTGGGGGGGACGCAATGGCCACCCCTACAGTGCTGCACAGGATCCTGCTCACCCAGCCTGCAGCTCCTTGCCTCTGCCCCTCATGCCCCCAGCCCAGCTGGCACCCCCAAAGACCTTCCAGGAGCCAGGTTTAACCCCTTCCTTCCCAAAGAACAGCCCAGCTTCTCCAAATGGAAGGAAGAGGCCTTAATGAGGCACTGAGACCCCATGCCCGCAGGCTGCACCACCCAGCAGCCAAGGTGAGCAGCTCAGCACCCCAAACCTGTGGTTACGGGGACGTCAGCCCATGAAAACAGGCTGGGATAGGACTGGGGAATGGGGTCTGCACTGAGCTTGCAAAGCCTCAGGACTGGGGCTGTCAGGCTTCATCCAGGCTTGTCTCAGCTCGCCTGGAGTTTTTGTTTGATTTACTCAGTTTGTAACAGCATCTAATTACCAAGTGGCTGTTAACTACTTAGCTTTAGTTTTGCTTCCCTTTTACAGTGGCATGGTGTGGTGTCTGTTGTTAGTAATTCAAGGGTGGGAATGAGTAACAGGAAGTTACACAGAATAAACTCTGGGGTGAAGGTGCAGGGTAGAGCAGTACGAGCCTGGAGGGGTGGGCATAGAGTGGTAGCTGAGGCCCCACCAGGAACTCACCCTTCGGCAGTTCCTTTCAGTGACACAAATTTAAGAGCTGGCAAAAATCAGTGTCAGGGGTAAGAGAGTAAAGAACCAGCATCCAGCATGCATACAACACACCACTTACTATAAAGGCAGACGTAATGTGGAGCTGCAGAGCAATGAAGAGGGGTAGGATGTGCTAGACAATGTTTAAAAGTGGCCCCAGTGGACTTGAGAGTGAGGAGGAAGAAATCCCCACTGTGAACATCACACTCCTCCCAGCAAAGGCCTCAGGATTCCAACAGCTCACGGGTGACCTCCTCCCCAGCTGAAACTGCCATCCTCACCACCCCGAGAACACAGGCCCGGAGGGGGCTGTGTAACAGCTGCGACTGCAGTATATTACTGAGATTTGTTTTGTAGTAACTGGATACATCCTCAAAAGGACGCAAAGCCCGCAGTAGACCTGGGAGGGGAAGCTGTTCTGTGCTGTGACCCCCCCACGCACAGCTGCCTTGCCCCCAGCTGCAGGAAGCCACCGAGGTGAAGGGCTCTGGAGCGGAGGATCGCACCGGGGGGACCCTTCCTAAAGCGGCAAAACCGTGGCAAAATCCA